AAAAAAAAAGCCAACAGCATACCAAGTTGTATTAACAGGAGTGTCACTTGAAAATCGAGGGAAGTGATTATTCCTCTCCATTCAGCACTAGTGAAGCCTCACCTGAGTACTGTGTCCAGCTCTGGGCTCCAAACTGCAAGAAGGATGTGGACAGTCTAGAAAGAGTCCAGTGCAGGGCAACAAAAACGATTAGGCACCTTGGAGGCACGACTTATGAGGAAAGGCTGAACAAATTGGGGTTTAGCCTGGAGAAGAGAAGACTGCGGTGGGGATTTGAAAATTGTCTTGAAGTATCTGAAGGGTGATTATAGAGAGGATGGAGATAGGCTTCTCTCTGAGGCTCCAGGGGACAGGACTAGGAGCAATAGCCTCAAGCTTCAGTAGGGGAAATTCAGGTTGGAGATTAGGAGGAACTTTCTGACTCTGAGAGTGGTCAGGCATTGAAACCTGCTATCTAGAGAAACTATGGCATCTCCATGCTTAGAAACTTTCAAAAGCATGTTAGACAGACTTTTGGTTGGGATGCTTTACTGAGGGATGATCCTGCCTTGAGCAGGGGGCTGGACTAGATGACCTTGTGAGGTCCCTTCCAGCCCTACTTTCCTATGATCCTCAGACAAAGCATAATAATCCAAAAACACAAAAATGAAACAAAGCTTAGCAGATTGAGACAAATGGTTAAAAAGATTTTCAATAGTTCACTCTTCCTGCAGTGATTTGAAACTGAATTTAAGTAAGGTAGAATATAACTATGATGATAAAATACCAGTCTAGTTTACTGAAGGACTAATTAGGTCTAAATAGATAACTCACAGATTTTAATTTAACATAACAAAAAGTGGCATACAAAAAGAGCTGGAAAGATAGATGGCTTGCCAAATAAGATGAATAAATACCCAGGAACAACATTCTGCAAAATATGCTCAGGACTTGAGGATGAATCATAATAAAAATCCTATCTAATCCTATCATGAGACTGTTTTTTTTTAAATGTGATTATTCAGTTTAGTTTTATCCAGATTGTATCCAAAGAGCAAACTAATGATAAATTAAGATTTCTTAAGCATAACTATTTTCAACCCTGACACCTATAAAGGTTAGTCAGTGCCCTTTCCCCTCAGCTTACATTAGGAGTGACTGCATGGATATGACTGCTAAGTATCATGTTTAGGCATTACAGGATTGGAGCCTTGTTAATTTTTAACAACATTTCTTCTACAAAAAGTTACTTGTTTAAACGAAAACTGAAAGCTAAGCACCATTATCTATTTGTTCTTAACCATGTTTACAGATATCATACCACAGAAGAATTAATCTTCTGCCTACCTCAGTGAGTGATGTCCTGAAGTATAGTCCACTTTCCCATATTTTTGGGTATAGTAGCCATGTTTCTGCATGAGGTCCATCCATGTTGTGTAGTTTGACTCCAGGCCTTTGAAGTTATTCCAAGATTCAGTTAAATGAGTGAAGAGACCGCTCCACATAGCTTTAAAAAAAAAGAGCACATTTCACAAATAAGTATCTAACAATGTCTTTATAAAACATGTGTAAAAAGGTTTTTATATAAGACTTTGCACTTCTCTCGCACCTTTCTTCTATAGGGCTTAATACACGTTAAGTACACTGGAAGGTATATAAATGTTATCTTCATTTGACAGAGCAGGAAATTCAAGTACAGAGAGTTAAAAAGTTCACACTAAGTCAATAGAGCAGGGAATAAAATCTAGATCTCCTGAATCCATGACATGATCATGATTTTTTACTTTAATTGTAGTAAGTCTTAACCCTAGTCATGGACCACAGCCCTGTCATTCTAGCCAATGCACGATCATTAACACAGATTTCTCCTGCTAGAAAATTAATATTTTTATTCACTGCAGAAATAATATAATATTTTAATATAGGCCTCTTGCAGCAAAGCACTAAGAAGCACATGGTTAGGTGAGCAAGCAGCTCCCTTATTTTCAATGGGACTTTTTAAAGTTAAACATATATATGGAGAATGAGGGACTTAAGGGGTACTGTTTTTTGTAATGCCATGTGATCCAGTTGATAGTAATTTACCCAAATTCCAGGTTAGGTAAATTAAAGGAGGCTGTTAAATCATAGGAAAGGAAATTACATTTAAGACAGAAACCAAAAGGAAATGAAACTTCAGGCAGAAGACCTGAAGGAAACAATGGAAAAGCTGTCAATTAGGGAATACCACTACCTTGCTTCGCTCAGCCTAAAATAGGGGTGTCCTCCCCTGCCGATCAAGCCTAGGACAAAAGGGAAACCTACTCCCTTTTCCCCCACCCCCACCAAAAAAGCTGGCAGTAGGACTGAGGAAGGGAAGTGGGCTGTTAGTAGATGGAAACTTAGACCTCGTTTGACTGAGAGATGCAAAGAACCTCATGCAATCAGGATAGGTTGGCTGTCCCAACATAGAGGTAAGGATAGGCTGGCTCTCCCTGAGCTATGGATCACAACATAAAGTTCTTAATCAATTTCTTTAAATCTCTGAAGTATGAATAAATAGTGCTTTGTTTGGAAGACACTGCCTCTGTGTCACTATAAACATGTAATACTGTAAGCTCCCACAAGGAAATTCTTACAGATGCCTAAACCTGATTTGAGCTTATGTTGTTAATGAATAGGAAGGAGCTGCTGCAGTCCAGAGATCCACAAAAAATCTGACCACATGGTTTCACCCAGAATGGAAACCAGGCTTGTCATGTCAGAGGTGCATTCAAGAGACACTAAAGAGGTCTCAGAAATACTTCATCCTGTAGCCTTGACAATGTGCAAGAATGCTTCACTAGAAGCAGTCCTTACTGCATTCATTTTCAGAATTAAAGTATCACCGATATGAATGCAGCAGGTACCCTCAGGGTTACAGTTTCTATCTGTAACAGATCCACTTGCCCCAGAGGTGGCCGTCATGCCCCATGGTGACAACTTGTCTCCTGCACCGCTCTAAGGTACACTCCCTTTGCTCTCGTCTGCCACGACTTGGTTTTATTAATAAACCTGGACATGGAGGGTGCTTTTGGCAAGCTGTTAGCCTATCCTCTTACCCATGAATCCCTCTCAGACCCCACTGCTCTCAATCAGTCCTTCTCTGGTGGGCCCTCTTGGCCTACACGTGCTCCTGAAGGGCACCCATTGCCTTATGTGCTAATCACTGCCTCCAATTTACCCTGTAGCCATGCCTATGGCTTGCAGTTGTAACAATCAAACAGTTCAGTGGGCCCTAGGCCCCACTCTCTGGCCCTCTCTGGGCACCAGGGTCTCTCTCTGGCCCCATCTCTGCTGCTGTGGGCCCCTGGCCCTGGCTCTGCCCTCCACAGACACTGTACTACAGCTTGCCCTGGCAGACACAAGCCTCCTGTGTCATGCTGGCACTACTAAGATCTCCTGACCTCCCATATAGTCCCAAACCCAGTCTACTGGTTAAAATTCAAACCAAAACGTAAGTGCACTGGCTATAACTTAATTCTCTGAGCACACTGGCTATCTTCTGAAATCCCCATCCATATTGAATCTAATCCCCTGCCAGCCCTCAGATTCTCATTGATATAGCTCAGGGATAGCAGGATCTCAATCTCTCATCAGCAGCCATCTTACTGTAGAGCTCCCTCTTCAGCCTCCAGGGACAAACTGACTGTGCAGGCTCTGGCCCAGGCTTATATCCCGCTGGAGCCCTGCTTCTTTCTGGTCATGTGACTTCCTGGGGTGTCTACAGGTATCTTCTAACTAGCTTTGCTTACTGGCTTTCAGGGTAATCTATAGCAGCAGACCTAGCAATTGTATCCTTGCTGCATCTCATACACAAGACTAGTACCAGGAATCCACTAGCACTACAGTAGGCTTCTTGCTGCTAACACTGATTACTCTACTATTGCTGTACAACTAGCACAATAGGTGCTCTCCATTCCTGGGCTCTGGCTGCCTCTCTCTTTACAGCTAGTTCCCTCTTTGTCTGCCAGGGCAGTTTGCCCCTATTGTTCCCTCTATGAGTATCAGGAGCCACAGGCTCCATTACACCACTCCTCTGAAGATTTAGCAAGAGATCACTGAACTAGTTACACTTAGTTCATAGCTGGAAAGTTTTATTTACAACGATAATGGCTAAAAATACATTGGAATCAGGGTTTTGATTTAGAAGCATAATTTTCTATCAAATGCTGTATACTACAGGGCATGTTCTTAGAGCAGTGGAGCCAACCTTTTAGGCCCACACCCACCCCATGTACCACTTTGTTCCTCTTCCCCTCCCCAGTCATCCCCTGCTTCCTGCCGTATATGCTACTGTGCTGCCTGTTCCATCCCCATCTGCCATGTGCCACACACAGAGGCTGCCCATGCCACTCATAGCACATATGCCATAGGTTTGCCACCCCTATTTTAGAAAACACATGAAGCATTGATTGCATTTGTCTGAAACAACAGAAAAAGCTGAAAGTCAATCTAACGTGTTTAAATAATAATGCCTACTTCAAATACAGGCTATTTTTTCAGAACAGATGTTTCAGAAATTTGGTAACTCAAGGCAAAGCAAAACATTTCACCCCAAAAGGCTGTGTCACAACAGCAAATTGCCAGGGCCACTGTATTCTTAAATAGCCTCAGGTGTACTTAACTCTGAATGAGATTTGCAAGCTCAGGAATAGTAATAGTAGTAGCAACCGTTGATCCTTCTGAATCATGGTGTATGTAAGAGGTCACCAGGAATGCATTTGCCTAGGTAGAAGTAAGGAGGAATGCAGGTTGGAAGAAACAGCATGAGACAGAGATTTCTTTGGCTGATATCTTTTATTGGACCAACTACATAGTTGGAATAGAGTTAGACAAGCTTTCAAATGCAAGACATTCTTCATCAAGTCTGAGAGGCAGAAAAGTGAGAAAGAGATATGGATAAATCTTCAAAAGACCAGGCAAAATTCAGATATGCACTAAAAATGTGGGGCTTAACCTAATCAAACCTTCTAAGGTTTGCCCAAACAAAATGCATATTTAAGTTGATTCCACTCAGGTACTTATTATTTTTAATAGGATTTTAATATGGTCTTACCTGCCCGGGAGGGACAACAAATTGGAGAATTGGTATAAGCATTGAGAAAGAGTGTGCCATGTTTTTTCATGAGATTTACAAAAGGCAAAGTCACAGTGAGACTGCCTGGATAAAACGTCAGCCTTCCATCCTGCAGTCAAAGAGATGAGTTCAAATATTAAAATAAATAACAACATTTTCTTTAGTTATTAGAAATACAGATTTTAAGATGATGAGACAAAGCTACAGAATAAGGCAAATTTACTATTCTAGATGTAATGAAACAAACATCAAACATATTTTGGATGTCCAAGAAATATATACAATTCTGATCTTGTAGATTAGATGAATAATGAAATCCTCATTGAAACTTCAGTAGGATAAAAAATCTGCACTTATACAGTCATCAAACTGATTAATAGAAGCATTAGATGAAAGACATTGGAAGTAATAATGCTTCTCTACTTGGCACTGGTTAGGCCTCATCTGAAATGTTTGTACAGTTCTGGGCTCCACATTTTAAAAGGATTTGGAGAAGTTAGAGTCCATGTAGGCAACACAGACAAAGTGCTTAAAATGCAAGTAATACAAATAGAGGCTGAAGGGGCTAGGCATATTCAGCTCATGGAAGAGGCACTTAAGAGCAGGCATGATAGCAGTCTTCAAATACCTGAAGAGTTACCATAAGAAAAAAGGGAAAGCACCTTTTCTCTATTGCTGCAGAGAGAAGAACATGAACCAGTGACTTCAAGCTGCAAGCAAAGTAAGTTCAGATTGGATATCAGGAAAAGAAACCAAGGCAATGGAATAGATTACCAAAGGAAGTTGTGGACTCTCCATCACTGGAGGTGTTTAAAAAGAGGTTGAACAGCCACTGGTCAGAAATGAATTAGGCATAGCTATGCCTATGGTCTACCATGGGTATTTCCCATGCCTCTGGGCTTCACTGGTTGCCCCCACCCCCCACTTTCTGCTACATGTGTCAGGGTGTTTTTAAGCCTCCCCAGAGCCATTGGGTGCTGGCTACAGCCAAGGCTAGGAATTTGAATAGGGTGTGCCAGTATTCCTGCTGGAACCAAAGCTGGAGGTTCCTGGCTTGTCAGTGGGAATTGTCCCTCTGCCCAGAATCAAACCAATCTCATATTTGGGGTCAGGAAGGAATTTTACCCCATGGTAAAATTGGTACAGACTGTAGATTTTTACCTTCCTTTGTAGCAGGGGATGTGGCCCTCCACTTGGGATCTCTTGAGCATATATTGACAAACTTTTATAGAAGCAGGATGGTGGTTGTCAAGATTCCCCTGCTTTACCTGTGGCAGGCCCAAAGTGTTATGTCTGTGCTGTGTCAGGGCTGACTAGAGTCTTATGTAAAGTTTAGAACATGGATTGTTTAGGATGGTTTGGATTGGGATTATCCTGCCTCAGGTGGGGGAGTGGGGGTAGATGGTCCTTTCCACTTCTACTTCTCTTATGATTCTATGAAACCTTGCACTTAAAAGCCCCTTTAACAATTTATTTTGAAAACCTCCAATACATGATTTCACCAACTACCTGTGTCTAGTCTTCCAGTTGGACAGGCTGACTGAAGAGCCATCTCCAACAGCCTCTGAAGTATTTCTCCCAAATGATAGGATGATTTGCAATCATCTTAATCTCAAGAAAGGTTTCAGATTAGGAAGTGGTATGGGACATTCCTACATTGGCAAATGATCTCTCTTAGTCATGAACATAAACTGTTAGAACGTATAAACTGTCAGGATCGTGTGAATGGTAACAAGGCATGGCTGAGTTGCATGGTACTGGTGGTTGGAGTGAACTGGGCTCAATTCTTCCCAGGCTGATTCCAGAGGATTATGACAAGGGACCACACCTTGAGGCTCTTGCCTTGGAAGAACTGCATAGTTAATATTTTTCCTCATCTTATACATAGTATATTTTTATCCCTTAGCACAGAATGTGCAATTAATTGGACTTCACGACTTTGCCATCTGAAACCAAGACTCAGCTCTACAAGTGATTCAACTGAATGCAAAATAGTATTATCATCTACCTTGCCCGTTACCTGAATGAGACAAGCGCTTGGAAGAAGAACCTTGACAGCAAATAAACCTGGGTAAGTAACATGCTTAGTTGTTTAGGAATTCAAATGGCCTTTAATAGTTGACAGTCTTGCCTCCAGGAGTCAAGATGATGATTAGTCTGGGGTATTCACCATTCTTGAGAATTATGTAATATAGACCCGACTGCTGGGATCTGAAGATTCCTCTCCTCCAAGCTTGACTGCTGGGATGCTGCTTTCCATAACCCAGGATGAAAGTAAAAGCCATAAGGAAACTCCAGTTGCTCCAACAAGAACTAGACCAAGGGTGTCAAATATACAACCCAAAGGTCAGATCTGGCCTGTTGCAGCCCACAGGTCTTCTTGAGGTTTTACTTCCACAGGCCAAATTCATCGTGCAGGACTTTTATTGCTGCAACTGCTGGAGCCCCTGTTGCAGTAGTGTTAAAATTTCAGCTGTTTTGGTGCAGCTCAGGAACTGAAGCCACTAGGTTCCCCAACACCAGACTGTTACCCAGGCCAAAATTGGGAATTTACTTGCCTCTGGCAACTAAAATCAAGAAGAGAGGAGAAGACAGCAAGTGGCAAGAGCATTAACTCCCTGGGGTCCAAAGCTGTGCTAAAACACCAGCCCCAGCAGTTGCCACTGCTTACAGATAATCTGACCTACAGTCTGGATCTGGCCTGTGGTGCCCAATGCATTTGACACTCCTGAGCTAGACCACCCATCAAATAAAAGAAAATGAGAAAAACCTGAAGCTATGCATGCTAAAATAGCTCTCTTTCCACTCTCAGATTCAGTTAAGATCTTGGTATCAACAGTCCAAGCTAATGATTCCCGATCAGGGTGCTGTGGCAGGCACCCTGGGGTATCTTGGGATCCTGTCAATGGTACCATGGGGTGCCATGCAATGTTAGGTGTGCAAATCTGATTCACAGGAAAAATCCAGAGGTTTCAAATAGGAATCGACAGTTTTAAAAACAGTCTGACCTGTTGTGGTCTGAGTTCTTTGCAACAGAAACATTTCTCTACTATTTTTCTGTAGTCAAAAAATGAGTGGAAACTAAGAGCCAGTATTTTCTGAGGGATGCCGTAAATCTTATCAACAGGTACCTTGAGCCTTAAAAGGTTGAGAACCACTGCTCTAGGCTCCGATTATCACAGACATTGCTTCTCCTCCTATGACCTACCATGACATGATTTGCCTATGCTATTTTAGATATTTACAGTGGCTTGCAAACTTACTAGAATAAGGTCTTGATAGCACTCTGTTGTTAACCAAACTCCTAGGATCCTTTGCTAGTTATGTCAAAGGCCAAGTTAAACTTTTAATCTAGTTAACTATCCTGAAAAAATCCTTAGTAAAAAGTTTTTTCTCGGAACTGAATTAGATCTTTGTTTCCTCCATTATGGATTAGACAGCTACCAGTCAGAAAGATTTGCGTATCAAATTTAGTAGTATTTTGAACATGCTTTTCCTTTCAGGAAATAAGGTGATGTAACTGAGCAAATTCAATAGCACTGTGTGCCATAACCTAAGTATAAAGATATTTTGTAAAGTCATAGGCTGAGCTTATTCCATCACTACTGCTGCAGCAAAAAAAGGGGGGGGAAAAACCACACACACAAGAATAAGAGGTTAGCTTTTTTTGGCCTATTACTGGCATGTGCTTAATCTTACTTGTGTGAATCTTCCTCTCACCCACTCCTCATTCCGTACTCCCAGTCAAACTAAACTGCTTTCCAACTTGCAGCATAAGATACAGTGGCCTGTAATACAGACTTTTGAAAGGTTTCAAGAGCCCTTCATTTTGCCAGTTTCTCCAACTGATGCTTTTATCATTACTACTTGTTATATTTTTAAAACAACCTTTCCTTCAGCTATAAGCAACTTAAAACAAGCTAATTGTTCACATATGTAGTCTAGGTAACCATACTCTCCTTTTACTACTGCTCTTCTCTTTCCCTTTAGTTGTTAAGCTCTCTTGATTCATCATGCCTTAAATTAGACCTCAAACTCTTAGATGAAAGGACTGCACTTTACTCTGCAGTTGTGAACCTACATTTTCACAACCGCAAGAAAGTAACCTGAGGAATACAAAGAGTTCTACTTAACTCACAAGAGTAAAGTTACTCAAGTATACTTGAGGACTGACGCCTATGTTTGTAGAACATGAGATTAAATCATGGTGTGCTGGCTCTCATTAGAAAGTTTTTCACCTAACCTCATAGAATCATAGAAGTTAGGGCTGGAAGGGACCTCAGGTCATCTAGTCCCCTGCCCAAAGAAGGACCAGCCCCAACTCTATCATCCCAGCCAAAGCCTTGTCTATCCAGGTCTTGAAAACCTCCAAGGATGAAGCTTCCACTACCTCTCTGGGTAACCTGTTCCAGTGTTTTACTACCGTCTTAGTGAGAAAATTCTTCCTTGTATCTAACCTAAACTTCCTGTGCTGCAACTTGAGACTGTTGCTCCTTGTTCTGTCAAATGTT